TATATTTTAAATATATCTTCATTGATTTCAGAAAGAAAAAGGGAGAGGGAGAGAGAGAGATAGAAACATCAATGATGAGAGTCATTGACCGGCTGCCTCCTGCATGCTCCCGACTGGGGACGGAGCCCGCAACCCGGGCATGTGCCCCGCCCGGGAATCGAACCCCAATCGCCTGGATCCCAGGTCGACGCTCAACTGCTGAGCCACGCCGGCCAGGTTTAATGACAATAGTGTCCAAATTGACCTGTAGATTAAACACAATACCTATCAAAACCACAGCTGCCTTTTTTGCAGAAATTGACAATCTGTTCTTAAAATTCACATGCAAGGGACACAAAAGAGCCAAAAAAATATTGAAAAAGAACACATTTGGTTGATTCGCACCTCCCAATTTCAAAACTGCAGCATTCAAGACATTGTGGTATTTGCAAGTGATACACATACAGATCAATGAAATAGAATTGGAAGTCCAGAAATAAACCCTTACATTTATGATCAATTGATTTTCAACAAGGATATCAGGACAGTTTCATGGATAAGAAACAGTCTTTTCAATAAATGGTGCTGGACAACTAGCTAACCACATACAAAAGAATGAAGGTAGACTCCTGCCTCATATCATATACAAAACTGAAATCAAAATGGATCATAGACTTAAATATAAGCTAAAATATAGGAGTAAGAAAAAATAGGAACAAATTTTCATGGTCTTGGGTTAGGAAATGTTTGTTTGTTTGTTTGTTTGTTTTAAGTATGGCTGAAAGCACAGCTAACAAAAGGGAAAAAATAGATAAATCCCACTTCAAAATTAAAAACATTTGTGCTTCAAAGGACACCAGCAAAAAAGTAAAAAATATTATATGATAGGGGCCTTTTATTCAGAATATATGAAGAACTTTTACAACTCACTAATAAAGAGAAAATAACTATTTAAAAATGGCGAAAGGATCTGAACAGACATTTCACCAAAGAAGATATACAAATGGGTAACAAGCCCATGAAAAGATGCTCAGCATCATTAGCAGTTCGGCAAATGCAAATCAAACCACAGTAAGATACCATTTCACATACACTTGGCTGGTTATCATCAAAAAGACAGATCATAAGTGTGGGAAAGGGTAGGGGGAAATTGGAGCCCTCATACCCTGTTGGTGGGAATGCAAACTGGTCCAGCCACTTTGTAAAACAGTTTGGCGGTTCCTCACATGTTAAACATAGAGTGGGGCTATGAGCCAATGAGTCCATGCTTAGAAATAAAATATTTACATGAATGTTTATAACAACATTATTCATAATGACCAAAAGTAGAAACAACCTAAAAGTCTGTCCAATGCCCATTAGCTAATAAGTAGACAAATGTGATGTATCCATACGGTGGAATATTATTCAGCCATAAAAAGATGGAAGTATTGATACATGCTACAGCATCAGTGAACCGTGAAAACATTATGCTATGTGAAATGAAGGCAGTCACAGAAGATCACATATTGCATGATCCCATTTATATGATATATCTAGAATAGGCAATTTTATAAAGACAGGAAGTCGGTTCAGCAGCACCTTGGGCTGGGGCATGAGTAAGAAACAGTACAGGGTTTTTTGGGGGGTGATGGAAACACTACAAAATCAATTGTGGTGATAGCTGCATAACTTTGTGAATATCCTAAAAACCATTAAATTGAACAAATTTGTGAATTATATCTCAATAAAGCTATTACAAAAAAGTATATGGGCAATTTCTTGTGTTTCCAGTTAAAACTAAATCTAAACCATAGCACCATGATTTGAGAGCTATTATTGTGTAGGGATATATCATCTAGGAGATGACTGGACAGTGTGAGCAAAGCAATCTCACTCTGTCAGCCCGCAATTGATAGAGTCTTTCTTTGAGTTCTGTATCTCATTTTAATCTCCATCCTTTAATAAGGATGTGGAAAATTTGGAGACAGTTCTGACAAGTACATTATAGTGATACAAATTATTAGAGACCAAAGCTTATGAAAGAACATGAGGATGTTAGTATAATTTAATCCAGAATCAAGGGGGAAAACAGAGCTGGGCACTTGGGATATGTAAGGGAATCAAGGGCTGTCTGCTAATAAGAGAAATCTAGTAAATGTCACAAGAGGAAATGAACTAGCTCTGCACCATATCTATAAAAGATATAATTAAGTATAGTTGGAATAAATTGAAACCAGATAACTGTACATTGCACAATGTTCTGATAATGAGAGTAATTATTTATAAAAGTGTTTTAAAAATCTAGAGACATTTAACATTAGGAGGTATGGATACTTCTAAGAGTTTAAAGAACATGAAAAATATATAAGCCATTTTGTATATGAGAATATCAGGTTATAAAATAATATATATTAAATAATTGCAATTAGAGAAATTTCCTAGCAAAAAGACAAGAAAAAAATATACCAAGTTTAATAGTTCCTATCATTAATATGATGATCAGTGCATATTATCTTTTTAATGTATTTTTTCACATTTCCCGTAATTTACTGTATATCTATATATCTATATCTATATCTATATAATCAACAAATAAAAATGTTAAATACATATAGAATACATATAATCTGTCTTAGTTTAGGCGTATGGGTCCTCTATAGATACTTTCACACTTTAATCACATTTTTCCCACAGGCAAGAAATGTTTCCCCAGGAACAAACAGATGGTGTTAACCTCTCCACTTCATTAGACTATTTTTTTCTGATTTACTAGATCTAAATTATAATACTACTGTAACTTATTTTAGATTTATTATTTTTTACCAAATATGTCTAGCACACTATATTTGCTCAAATAAGATACAGTTTTAATGACAATTCTTTATCTCTTATTTATCAGATGATTACACTACAGGTATTTGAAATAGCAGACTTTCACCAAGCATACCTTAGGCCACTCATATTACTTCAGTATAAAGAATATATAAGAGACAAAGTGCGTTGACTCTTTCCAGGGTTCAATGGTTTAATTATGTTTTATAATGCCTCTGGTTTATCTTCCCTTTGTAGTTTTTAAAGTTATAACTCAGTCAGTATTTACTGAGAGATCACCATGAGCAACTTTCTTCTTGGAGTTTCAAAATCATTATATTCCCACATAGCAGATAAATGAGAGAATTTTTGCAAATTATTCCTTGTTAATAATTCAGAGTTCTTATTTGTAGATTCCTAGGGCAAGCAAGCTTTCTGGAAAGTAAACACACAGTCAGAGGCTGTGCTCTGGCTTCTCCTACCCTTTTTTATTCCTTTGGTCTATGGTAACTTTCATCAAAAGTCCTACTTGGCTTTTCTATATGGATTTTAAATTTGATGTCATATTAATGACTAAGTAATAATATTTACTTAATATACCTTCCTTTCTCTCTAGAGCTGTAGTCTCCAAGTAATTCAGATTTCTGGGATTCATCTCAGCCCATGTTTCTGGGACGGTTCTCTTCCATGTGTTTGTTTTAAAAGCTTCCTGCAATAAAAGCGCCCGGGTTCAGGTCATTCCATTAAAGGGCTTTGTTCACCTGCCTTCTCCGTAGAACAGCTGTCTTCAGCCCTTGACTGCACAGTCTCGGGGAAGCTTTTAAAAAATGCACTTACCTAGGCTCCCTCCAAGGCCAGTTATCTTACTCTACTGGAGGTGCGGGGAGCCACTGGGGTTTTAGGGTGTGTGTTTTCTACCAGGTGCATTACAGGTGATTTCTCAGGTGAAGTGAGATTTGCTAACTATGCGCTAGTCGGTGAGTGACTTGTGACCGGGGCCTTGCCTTGTGTCTTCATTGTCACCGTCGACTGCGGTGCCCTGTGCTAGTCTTCCCATGAAGGCTCGTGGGATGCATGATAGCCGGCCACCCCGGTGCGTGTCCCCGTGCCTGCGCCCCAGCCACCTGAAGCTGATGCCGTCCCAGGTTTAGTCATGTCGCCCTTCATTTTCTTAGCACAGGTGCAGCAGTGAACAGCAGCGAGAGCCTCCCTCCGTCTTCGTCCGTCAACGACATCTCCTCCATGTCCACCGACCAGACCCTGGCGTCCGACACTGACAGCAGCCTGGAAGCCTCGGCGGGCCCGCTGGGTTGTTGCAGGTGACTAGCCGCCTGCCTGCGAAACCCCGCGTTCTTCAGGAGGTGACGCGACGGAGCCCACGCCCACGCCCACTCGCACACACTCATGCACACGCGCAGCCACGGGAGCACGGCAAGGGCGAGGCCGAGCCTGAGCGGAAACATCCTCAGCCTGCTTCTCCAGAGTCCATAGTGCGCTAAGCGAAACGCATCCCTAACTTCTCGCTGCTCTTGCTTTCGGCCCCCCAGTGATGCTTACTACTGAAGGCAGATCCAGCAGCGAGGGAAGCCTTTCCCCTAGAGTGTAATTGTAATGGCTGCAAAACCAGTGACCTGTAGCTGCCCTTTCCAATGGCATGACAAGGTGTGCCGTGGCCCCGTCCAGCATGTGTGTGTCTCTATCTTGCATCTACCTGCTCCTCTTGGCCTAGTCAGATGGATGTAGATACAGATCCGCATGTGTCTGTATTCATACAGCACTACTTACTTAGAGATGCTCCTGTCAGTGTCCTCAGGGCCCTACCAACACATCATGCACTGGGGTACCACGTGGTCCATTTCGTGTGATCTATTACTCTGACGTCAAACCCATCTGTAATATATTGCCAGTATATAAGCTGTTTAGTTTGTTAATTGATTAAGCTGTATGTCTTATGAGAAAACATGTAAAGGGGGGAAATGTGGGGGGAGTGAGCTCTCTCGGACCCTTGAAGGTGTAGCTTCCAAATTTGAACTGATTAAATGGCACCTGTATACCAATTTGTAGAAAGAATATATGTGATGCTTATGTACAGTGTGGGGGCGGGAGGGGGTGACAGTTTCCAGGCACTGAATGGTTTGGCCTTTAGGAGGAAGGCGGGAATACAGGCTGAGGGTCTTTTCCCTGACAACATGTGGGTCGGATTGACTAGCGCAGTGTTGCAGTACAGAGGAAGACCTAAAGGAGATTATTGCCCAGATACTAGGAGACACTAACGTCCATATTTTCGATAGTAGACCCCATTTGTCATTTATAAATTATGTCACAACTGGACAGAGAGCGGCAGGTGGTGAGGCAGGGGTATTGTGCACGTGTCTGATTGTAAGAACCTCTCCCTAAAACAGAGCAGGAGGCCTCTCTATGATGTCCTTCAGAAAACGAGCCTACTTAGACCATCTTCACATTGTGGGTTGTGTTTTCCAGGACTGTGCTGCTTCCCAGGTTTATACTCTGCCATGGTTTTACTTTGAGAAGACATATTACTTTCCTCTTCTGGAATTAAGTAATAATAATAATAACTTTAAAAAACAACAATCCAAAGCACAAGGTGATCCTCAGGTTAGCATTTTGAGAACATTTCCACAGATGTTATTATTTCTCAGGAGTTTCCCTGACTCCTTAATGTTTATTTATTTTCATCAATTTGAACCATCCAAGAAGGGCTGACAATTCGAGTTTAGTCCCGCAGTTGATGGGATAGCAGTAACTCCGCCCAGAAGTTACTGCTGCTCAACAGCTTTAGCAATATGAGTTTGTCTTAAAAGCCATGAAGCATTTATGTCAGTGTTTAGCAAAATCACAGGAGTTTAGCTCACATTTAATGAAAGTGCTTCCTGAGCACCTAAGGAGACACCGTGAAACTTCTTGGTTATACCCAAGGCAACCCCAGAGGGACTTCTCAGCAACACTGGAGACTGGCTCGAGGCCGCCCTTCCTCCTCCCTTTGCTAAACTCTCCATCGCAGCCGTTTTTGCACTCGGACCATTTTGGTGCCTACCAATGTGGTGATATTTCACCTGGAGAAGTGAAACACATGAAATAGATGAGTGATGAGTGTGATATGCTGGCAAATGGAATCTCTTCGAAACTAGAGCAAACAAGGAAGCCAGTGCTCTGAAAACCGCCTTAAATACAACAGGGAAGCTTTGTCTCCTCTCAAGCAATAGCGCCAACCCCCACTATCGCCATGCGAGCAATGCTGCCACTTACGCGATTGCTTCACACAGTAGGATTCATGCCAGGAGGTCATTTAATTAAAATGGGGAGAAAAAAACCCACATTAGACTGTGCGGCTTGTCCCCTAGAATAAAAGTATACCAGTTTCTCTCTTGCTGCCATTGTTTTTGGTTAATATAGCAGACAACCTGATTTTAAAAAGTTATCTCATTTTTCCTTCTGTCACACTCCCCAACCCCAGCCCTTTAAAAACACAAAAATGTGTCTTCTTTGTACCCATTAGTTTTTACTTTTCTTCCTCTGTGTTCTCCTCTGGCTTCACCTGCAGCTGCTCAACTCCTGACTTTCTAGCACTTGCAATGAGGAGCAGAGAGCAGGCACCTCTGAAAGAAAGTGAGTCCCAAGGGGAATGTCATCAGCTACAAAACGACATCAAAAGATAGGAGGAAACCTCCAGCCAGCATCTTAGAGGTGCTTGGCGGCTAGACTATCTCTCATGTGCACAGAAGTGGAGATTTCTTCACTCAGATTAAACCAGGCAAGAACTAGGTAATGCCCCTCCCTGCTGTTACTACCTTCCCTACACGCTACTAGCTGATCTCCCCGTCGTCTGGCTCTGAGGAGCTGATTGCCTTTAGCTGGCCCTCCCTTATGGACAAGCCAGAATGGAACAAATCCCTCAGATTGACGTATCATGTACAAATAGAACTAGGAATTTGGCTTTTTGACTGCTTATAGGATTAATCTCACTAGGTTATCAAAGCAAGGTAGGTGATGCAACAACGAAAGGAATTATTTCAGAAGCCCACCAGCCCTTCATGATCCTGGGTCTACTTTATTGTAATCTCTTCAGGAGGTGATTATGTTGTTATCACATTTACAAAATAGATTATGATCTGCATTGAGCCTTCTTTCCCTGAAAAAAAATCCTAGATAGCCACCTGTGACTTCCAAAGGACTCTCTTGCTTTTTAGGCAGGGAAGAGTGAAGTCACCTGGACTATGTTCCCGAAAAAATGGAAGGTCCTCCTGCCTGCGGCTGGGGTTCACGTCAGAGTGTGCAGCTGGCACGCTGAGATACCCAACCTTTTGTCATTTGCTACAAGGTGATGGTTTTGCAATGAACCTTAATGAAATGCTTTGTTGTATTTTTGTAGGAAGGATGGCTGTGTGCCCACAGGCAGGAGGAATTAAACTGTTGGGAGAGTTTGGCAAAATCTACCACCACATTGATACGTTTACATGAATTTTGTGAGTCAGTCTGTTCATTTTCTTTTAAAAAGATACATTAGCCTTGCAATCAAATTTCTTCTTGTAGAATAAGGACTGATAATGACCTTGCATCTTCAAGAATCTGATGACCGAGCTTTGAGGGCATGTCTACCACAGGTGGCCAATTCCTTCCAATTAGGGTAAGCTATTTAACTGAGGGCCGAGGAGCAGGATTGCTTTTCTTAATGTTATCATTATCAGAAAAATATTACCTAAGGAGACTGATAACAGCTTACTAGTAAGTCAGAAAATAGGCCTTGACAAATGGAATACATGGAACAGATAAAAATACATAAATCTTTTTATGATCTGGTTAGGGGGAGGGGGTGGGTGGAAGCAAAACTCACTTTTAAATTTTAAATGTTCATTGCAAAATCTAAACTATACAAAGCCTACTTCTTTTTAATTCTTTCAACATATGACAATCTAAATCTTAAAAGCAGTGCATTCTATAAAGAATGTTGTCAGCCAGCTTTGCTGAAAAATTTATCTTTTACAGCTCAGAGAAATAAATAAAATTGCTCCAGGAATCTGAGCCCAACCACTTTGGGTCTAAAGATAAATCCCACATCCACCCCTCTCACAATCCTCCCCTACTCCCACCCCTTCACACACACATTTTAATTGTGAGAATCCAACACGTTCCACAGATATCATTAAACCATCAGGAAAACTTCTTCCTGTAACAACAAACAAGTTACAATGTAAATAGTTATATTAATTATTTTCCATGTGATTAAAATATAAGATATTGTTAATTCCTTTGCCTCTTAGACGGTCTGTTCACTGTCTGATATGGTTTACTTTGACCCATTTCCTTGGTCAGACTTCTGTGTATCTAACTTTTGACTCTGTGGGACCAATGGCCAGTATATTCTAATGGAAACAAATCTCCCAACCCTTATCTAGCATTAAACTGTTCACCTTGCCATGTCTATCTTGCAACAAGACCTAACTTGTACCTGCCTGTTATTCTGCATGATTGGACTCCCAAGACTATTACCAATGATGAGAATTGTCCTGTGTCAGTGTTCATAAAATGGACTTAAAGCACACACATTCATACACACCTCCCCTTACACTTCTAGGTCAACCCTGGAAGGCAAAACCATGCGCGTCCAGTTTCTTTGCAAGGTCTTGGTGAGAACTGAAAGTCAGCCTAAAGGATCAAATGCAATCTCAGTGATGTTTAATAAGGATTTGAAATCATTTAATTCATTTCTGTGTTTTTTCTCTCTTTTTTATTTCTAAGTTTTTTCCCTATATTTTCAAAATGTTGGTGGAACAAGAGGGCAAAGGGGGGAGAATTTTGGCTTTTTGGACTCTTTGTAGGTGGATACTGAGTTAATGCATTGTGATTTCTGTTTCTTATGAATTATTAAAAACCAGAGCAAGTTTGCTTCACTTAAAACCAAATCTAAATCAGACTTTGTTGAAGTGTGCTATTGAGAATGGTTGTGGCGCTGCTCATTGCCTTGGGTTTCATGTCTTGACAGTAGCTCCGAAATGTCTCACATGGTTTCCTAGTCCGATTGTGCCAGGGAATAAATAAGAGATAAGGCATGACCTACTTCCTCCCTTTGGGTAAAGTGTGAGTAATGTGTATGTGACCATGTAGAAGGCTGTGTTCTCATGTGAGAATGGTTTCTTCTAAAAATGACCTTCATTTCTGTTTGGGGATACTAGTTGTGTGTGTGTGCAATTCAGTAAGTTTCTTAAATGTATAAATCAGTGAAGGGGAAGAAATTATTTTCTGGGAACATTATAGGTGAGTAGAACAGGGTTAAATATCCTCGGTTATTTTATGAGAATTTCTAATCAGTTTGATTATTACCCAAGAGAGAAGGTAAAAGGTTTTTTTGTCTACATGGTAGCTAACTTAATATCTCAAACTCCTTCGTATATTAAAAACTATAATTTTGTGGCTTGATAAGGAGGTCACTGAACCTGTGTTAATTAGCCGGAAGTATCTAAACAATGTCAAGGAATGGCCCTTCTATTTCTATAAATAAAACATTTCATTTAACCAATTTACTATTAGAAAATCTGGAAGATAAACATACCTATTCTTTTAAGTTAACACAATTTATCCTTTTATTTATGAGGAAAGTAGAAACCAAAGCCTTTTGTTATCTCTGGCATAGCTTCTATTCTAATTTAAACCACAGATCTTTACTCTCTTAATAAATTAACTTTAACAATGGTCAGGTAAAGGTACCTGAAAAGGCCCACAATATTAAGAAGGGAAATTGCATTCTACAGTATTATTCATGGAGAGAAAGGAGTTATTGGTGCATTCCAGGTACCATAAAAGGTTACTAAATATTGGGGAATTTTAACACATTTTGCAGAAAGGAGAAGAAAGGAGCCTTGAAAATTACCTTTCTTGTAGCTACTTAGGGGACAGCGAACCTAGAAGGATGATTCCTTTTGCTCAGTAACATCACTAGGTTGAACACAAGGCAGCAGTTTTGACATGACCGGTTCTTCAGGATGGTGTTTTGTACTTGTCACGAGCCTCTCCTCCAGGGCTTTAGAAAGGCGCAGCTGGAAGACCT